TTCATGAACAGCAACGTGCCATCTGATCTACACGAATGCAGTCCATTCCCTTCTATAGATTTGATATTTTACGAGAATCACAGTCTACATGTGTTGGGTTCCAGCCCGGCACGCACATGTCCGTCACTTTGGAAGGCGAGCAATGTACGCGCCACACGCACGAACGCTGCAAATGACATCGACGAGAAGCGCTTTTCAGAAATGGTCTATATATATCTTGCTAAATTATACTTAAGCACCAAAAATCATATTCATGCCACAAGAGTAGTTGCACGTGCTGGCGCCTGCCACAGTAACTTTTCTAAAAAAAATCTAAAACAAATGGCACGTTTTTTTTTTTTTTTTTTTTCAGGTTATACGAGCGTGTGGGGCATCTGTACCCCCATTCCGAGCATTTTCTGTAGGGCTTTGGAAATTTGTCAAAAATATATTGCGTGACTCTTCGAGCTTTCTTCGCCAGCTATCTTCTAATAAAAAGAGAACGGATTTACTAGCGATATCATGAAACTAGCAAGCCGCGGCTTGAGCGTACCGAGTTGCAAAAATGGTTTAATCACGATTCCAACTGCTCCTGTTTTTTTAACTTTTATTTTACTTTTTTATAGTTTGGCACATAGACCAAGATCATACGTTGTGCGAATATAGATAATTATCAACTTCAAATAGCATGAACACCCAGATTTTCTCGCTGTTAGACGCGAGAAAGGCGGCCGTGAGCGTACCCGATTGCGGGCCGCGCGCCTCGCTGCACATCCGTGACGCTTGGGTGGAGGGGAAAACTGGGGAAAATCTAGGGAGAACGATGTTTCGGTTTCGGCAGCAAACAAAATATCACTTCTTTTAATGAACTAGAGTGAATCTGGAAGAACGAGATAGCATTTCGGAATCAGGAAGTTATCCGCATTCAGATTGTGCCTTTGGATTAGGTAGCTCGAAAAATCGGCGAAGTTCCCCATTAACGTCTGAGAGATGAGGAGGTGACAGGGTATGGCAAGGAAATGCCGGGGAAAGGAAAATAAAAAATAATGACCAGCTCACACACACACGCACACACAATTAGGAGTCAGGAAGGGCGGTAGAAATTGCTCGGGAGACGGGGAGAGAGAGAGAGACGGGTGATGGTAGGGAAAAAGGAGGATAACCCTTCCCCCGAATGTTTGGGCCCGCTTCAGACGGGGCAACTTCGCCCAGCAACTTGACGTCGCAACACCAGCAACACGGGCCGCCCGCGTTCACAGGCAGCAACCGAGTCGGTACGACTTGCCATCATCATCATGAAATTGTATTTTGCTTGCAGTATTTAGACACACAACTACGTGCTATAAACGTGTATTTATGCATTTAAATCAGGTTGAGACTGCTAAATTATCTTTCTGAAACGGCTTATATCCAAAAACGATCAATTTCAAACCAGAACCAAGTTTTAGCTGTCATCATCACCCCCACCACTTTTCGCCCCTTCAATGAAAAATGTCACGAATATACACGGATATGCGGGTGTGTGAGAAAAGAAAACTTCGCGGCAATCTTTTGGCTCCTCCCCCCACTATGCCATAACACAAAGAATGTTTGTGTTTGATGAGTTTAGCGACCCAGTAGTGGCGTTTTCTCTGCCATTTAAAAAATAGCAAGAATCCGCGTGCATATAGCTCTGATTGGCGCCGAGGATGTGCGAGAGTGGAGATTCCGAAAACTCTTTTGGCGACGTCACGCTCTGGGAAGGAGGGCCTTCAGCTGCACTTTCAAAATGTTTTTCAGCAGCCTACGCGCACCTAATAAAAAGAAAATTTCAATATTTGAGATTTTGAAGGTCAAATGGAGACGATTTAAAATAACACTAACGAGTAAAAAAAAAAAAGTTTTAATTCGAAACGGAGGAAAGCGAAGTCTGGACGTTACCCTCGAAATTCAAAACTTGGGAACTCAGTGGCTGTGAAGTAACATTGACTCCATAGGAGCGTAGAGTCGGCTTCGGTAGAATTCGAAGTGAAACCAGGCATGCACCTTCCCAACCGCTCTGACGTCCGCCACTGCGGTGGCGCTGCTGTCGGCGCTGCGCATGCGCGGATGAGTCATCTCTCGCGAATCTTGTTTCTGCGCAAGTGCAGTGCCCACAGTAGGCGTGTGGGCAAAGCAGCTTTGTTTGCAAACTGTTTGTTGGTCTATAGGCAGAAGCAGCCTGTATGCTTTATTTTTTTCCTTCTCTTTCCTGTGTGTGTGCAAGGTCCCTGCGACGTGGGGGAACTGGTTGCGGTTCCCCCAGTCCCCGCGGAGGTTACAGAGGAAGGGTGGCGTAGGTAATTCAACGCAGCAAAATAGACGTAACTATGACGTAACCCAGCTTGTCGGTACGTGGCCGTGATCTCGGCCATCTGAAAAGAGAGACCACAGAAGAGGAGCTACACGGTCCGTCACAGTATACGAGTTGATATTGACGCTAATTTTGTTTTTAGTTTTAGAATAGGGGGTCCCAACGCTTTGGGGACCCCGAGGAGAATGGGCTGTCGCACTGCGTAGGCGCAAGACCTCCGCGCATGTGCACTGGTGCAGTGCGATGCTTCGGTTGACCAAAAACGTTGGGCCCCACTATTGCAAATTTTTTATTGTTGGTTTGAAGCGACACGTTTGCTCACTGCCACGCACGTTTTTGTTTCTTTTTTGTTTTGTTTTGAATAACTGTTGGTGCTTTTCCCGGCAAAACCCTACTCCAAAGCAGAGGCACTGACTGGTCTCCCTCTCTTAGTCCGTCCTCACACATGGCAAGGCCCTTTCCAACTATATACGCCTAGAATACGAAGCCGGTGCGCTCGGAGAGATAGTGTGGTCACGTACGCACGCACCGACCTAGCGGCTCCCGAGAGAACTTTTCTCCACTCGATCGAGCGGCCCCGGAGAGCGTCAGGTTACCTTACCCGGCTCAAGTGCTGCGTCCTCGACGGATGTTGCCGCACGCTTACATAAGTCCGCGCAACATCCATTGCACCACATTAGACAACATCTTGGCAATCACACCATAGCACTGCCAATACTGCTGTCTCAGCTGGCTGACGTACTACCTCGCGATTGCACCAGTTCACGCCATCGCGAGGTAACCCTCAGCACGAGGGTTTAAAAAGAAGTCGGACAGAGGAATAAAGAGAGACGAGACGGAGTGAGCAGCGAGACGGCATGGGACCAGCGGCCTGAATAAACGCCGACAACACTCTTTCATCATTATTATAAATTTGGCCAAGTAATAATCAGTTAACGAAATAAAGTGTTAGTGTTCTCACCAACCGTTCCAGACCAAGTCTAGAACAACCCGAGATACTACAATAGCGTCAAACGGCTTCAGAGCCGATGGCTCTAGGTTCAAATTGCTTGAGAAGCCGGTTTCAACGCAACGTACAACCCCTTTCTTTCGGAGAGTCACCCTGTTCAACACCGACTAGAAGTCAAGGCAGCAGTGCTCCTCCGGTTACGTCAGGGGCGTTGGCTGGCGCACGTCGCGGTGCGGTATGGAAGTGAGCAAATCGCGCGTAGATTCGCTGTCTTACGAACGAGTTTCAGTGTACGAATACGCACCTAGTAAGCTAAAGGTCGATCTGTACACAACAATTGGCCCGGGAAACATATTTTACTGCGCAGAAGGCGATGGAGCGCATTGTGGAACGGCGAAAAAAAAAAACTTCTAGGGTGGACAAACTACGGTATGAGCGACTTTTGATAGTCAAAAGTTGTGTTATTAGATAAAACGTCCGCTATAAACGACTATTGAAACTGCAAAGTATGTTTAACGGCACACAGCAATATTACTTTGCAAGATTATTGTTATCATTCGGAATTCAGAAAACATGAAAGACCAAAATACGGACATCATGACTTCTCGAGAAAGATATGAGTGGGTTGTTTAAGCCGGAATATGGTGATTATTGCTTCATATGGAGGACTTTGCTTATAATGACATTAACCCGAAACTGCAGGAGCAACATACTTTTACAGGGGTGAAAACAGAACTGTGGTAAGCACGTCTTTGACTCAGGTAAAAGAGTTCACTGAACCACTGCGCCACAGAACCTGTTGTACTCCACACAGAAAGAAATAGCTGGATTTCCTAAATTACTTGACTACTGGTGTAACAAAACATGATCGACAGTTTCTTGGCTACACTTCGCTTTCCATTGCCGACTCGCATTATTATACACCCCAGACCCTAAATTTGACTGCTCAAGGAAAAATTCCACGAATGTCTTGCGTAACTCTTTGAGGGCAAATCGCACCGGTTTAGATCTATTTATCACAGCCGAATTGAAAACAAAATCTATACCCTCCTTACAAAATTTAAAATTATTGATCCATGCACCGCAATTCATATTTATAAATTTAATTCGAACAAATATATATTATTAAAAGTCACGAAACGTTTACCAATGCAGTCTGTGCAGGTGAGTTACACGGCCGGGGGACATATTCTAGGGGGTTAATAGTCTTGATCGGTAAAAATATTCTGTTAAGAATCATGATGAAATTTCTTAATTCATTAAAATAAATACAGAGTTTCAATTAGAAACCCACTGAGCGTCATGAAGAACCACTAATGCAGTCACTTTCAGAGAGACCTTAAGCAGGTGGGCAGCGCGGACGCGCGCTAAAGTTACTAGTCGTGCCACAGTTGCAAGGCCTGCGTTTCGAAAACACGGACGAGAACACGGACGACAATCTCGTCATCCGCGTTTTCGGACTCTAGCTCAAGAAGTGGTACGGCATGTTCGCCGCTTGGGGGAGGGTCTGGGACGCCTACAGTATGACGGTTTGCGCAGGCTTCATCTTCTGTTTGTGGCCGCGTTGGTGTCGCGTGATTTCAAACGCCAATTAAAAACAATCGCCGCGCCAGGCATTTAAAATGCTCCGCTCCCACCTGTAGCTCGCAGAACACAGATGACACACGTCTTGTATACGCATCGTTCCACTTTTAATCCAGACCGTGAGGCCAAGGTAATATTCGCTCCGATTCCCGAATCATGGCGATGAACAAGTTTCGTCTTGCCCTGCTACAACTTGCAGTGACGCCCAACATTTCGAAAAACCTCGAAAGAGCGAGTGAGTTAATCAAAGAGGCGGCGCCTGCGGGAGCGAAGATGGTCTGCCTGCCAGAATGCTTCAGCTTCCCGTACGAGCCGAAGTACATCGTAAAGTACGCCGAGCCGATTCCGGGGAAGTCCAGCGAGATGCTGTCACGCTGGGCCAGCGACAACCAGGTCTACCTCATTGGCGGAACGTTGTCGGAGAGGGAGGATGACAAACTCTACGCCGCCTGCTTGGTCCACGGACCGGACGGTTCACTGCTGGCCAACACTCTAAAAAAAAAGGAGTCGACAAGTGTCGACTCGACTCTTTTTGGAGAGTATCTGGGTTGTCGCAAACCACACTCTCTATTGAGAGTAACGGTTACTCTTCAACGACGAGGGTCAGTTTAACTCTCCCACGCGAGTGTTCACTTAACTCTTCTATAAAGAGTCATGCCAATACTTTTGCCAGAGTCAGCACTACTCTTTCGATGTGTAAGTGTGAGAGTTAATTTCACTCCTTTGTGTAGAGTAACTATAACTCCATAAAAAGTGTTGTCTAAACTCATTGACGAGAATTAATATCACTCCTTTGTGTAGAGTGACTATAACTCTATCAAAAGTATTGCCTAAACTCCTTGTTAACGAGTTAAGGAGGCTCTCCAGGCAGAGTTACCTTCACTCCTTCATGTAGAGTAACTTCAACTCTGTATTCAAGAGTTACGCATACTCACCAGGAAGGGTTACCTTCACTCCATCGTGTAGAGTAACTACAGCTCCATTAGAAGTGTGGCCTAAACTCTGTACTTAAGAGTTAAACATACTCTCCCTGAAGAGTTTATTTCACTTTTTTGTGTAGAGTAATGAGAACTCCATTAAACGTGTTGTCTAAACTCTGTGTTAAGAGTTACAAAAACTCTCCAGGAGGAGTTGATTTCACTTGTTTGTGCAGAGTAACTACAACTCCATTAGAAGTGTTGCTTAAACTCTGTATTAAAGAATTAAGCATGCTCTCTAGGAAGAGTTGTGATGACCATTTTGAGGAGAGTAAATAAAACTCCATTAGAAGTGTTGCCTACACTTCATACTAAAGAGTTAAGTATGCTCTCTAGCGAGAGTTAATGTCAAATAACAGCACACTTGAGCAGTTTGTGTGACCCCTTTTCGAAGAGTGCTTAACTCTTTAATAGAGTCAATTACTCTCCACAAAGAATTGTGTAAAGTACACCCCCGTGTGCCTAAACTCTGTATAAAAGAATTAAACACACTCTCCAGGAAGGGGTCACACAAACTCCACTCAATTATACTCTTATATGTTGTTTTTGTTGTGTTGTTGAGTGCAAGTTAACCCAGTAAAAAGTAACAGAAACGCCTGAAAAGAAAATTAGAACAGAAGTGTAAATTTGGCTGTTTGTTAATAAGAGTTTGCTAGAAAAAAAGTAAAAAAGAAAAAAAAAAACTCTACTGGCAATCAGCATTTCTAGCCAGTTAAAGTGCGACCACTGTACTTTTCTTTTTGCAATTATTTTATGAATGTCAATACCTCTCTTGATTTCACTGTAATGTGGAAAGCTTTTGGCCTTATTGCAGGAGTTGTTGCATACAACTAGGGACAACTCAAGTATTTTGCAATGAACAGTAGCCCTAAAATCTAAAATCGGCTATGTACATGTTTACAAGATGGTTGCATAGGAAATGTGGAACGGCACATAGATAATGAGCCTGTACAGAGGCTACAGGTCTTCATGAAAAGTCAGCATGGAAAGAATAAAAACAGTAGAAGAAAGCTTAATAAACCAAGTCTTTAATTTCAGCACATGGCAAAAAAACCAAAACTGGCACCTAAATTCCCTCTGGCTAAAAGTTTCTAACTTTGATATCAGATCCAAAGCCAGGACGGACTTTATCTTGTACTTCAAACCAATGAAGTGCCCAATCACTGCGAGTGACCGGCTTGCTTTTTGACGGTAAGATATGTCGTGGACCCACTGCAGTGCAAGAACGAGCACAGCACGAGCCACAATATCCGTCACCTCAAAGAAGTGGTCCTCCGACACCAGAGTTATGGCACTTGAGTCCTCTTCGTCACTGCGCATCACCGGGCAGGTCGATCCGTCGTGCCACTCCTCCTGTGAAGAATGAATGCATAAATGTAAAGTCAGAAATATTAAAAAAGAGTAAGCTTGCTAAGTGCCCTTAGTTAATACCAGTGCACTCATTTGCAAGACAATAGACCATTTTCGAAAATCCCAGGAGCCATTCATAGAATATACTTGAATAGTTGGCTGGGACTTGCATTTTTGCCGATTGAACAAGAGTCCGAACCAAACACTTAGGCAGCACTCATGGCTAGCTCACTCAGCCGCAACCATCCAAAACCATTAGTACCCCTTCTGACATGAACACCTAAAAGAAAAATAATCCACATCTCTCTCCCTCTCTCTCTATTTTTTCCTTTGTATGCAATGGCAGCCGTAAGTGGTTGCATTTTTTTATGGCATCCCCAAGCTAGCACCCCCTGCCAGTGGCATCGGGACAAGGGTGCAAAGGGAGGGGGCAGTTGCCCCCCCCCCCTTTTTCCTGACATTTGAAACAATTATAGCAAACAATATGGGAGAGGGGGACAGGGTTTAGCTTCCCTGCACATCACCCCTCCACCTTCCAAACGGTAGCAATTCAGCTGGCCTCTGCCCACAGTGGCAAAAGACATAGCTCTATATTTATACAGACTTTCCCGAAGGGTAGGATGAATGCAATTTCTTAACATCCGGATTTGTCCAAGTAGACTCGTCCAAGTTTTTATACATTAGTTAGTGTGAACAATCTATTGTGGTGGTTCAGTGCTGACTGCCGTATATTATAGTTTCTTTTACAACTTTACAAAAAAAAAAAAAAAAAAAAAGCTAGCAAATGCATGTAACATCTTAGTTTGGGGAGACCATTAATTAAAAGTAATTTCAACTCTACAAGGAGCTAATTTGCCATAAAGTATATTTTAACCTTAAAAAAAATTATACATACTAAAATGCACAAATTCTAAATATATATATATATAAAAGTACCCCAACCCAAGAACACACAGGTTTTGATTCACAAGAGTTAAAATAATTGATAAATGTGCCACATGTCAAAACAAAGAATGCATCGTGGCATGCCTAAGCTCCGCCACAACCGACACTACTAGATAGTCAGCAAGCGGTTCATGTGTGCCACTTCATCATGCAGCTAGCTGCACAATAGATGTGGGCTCTAAATTTCTCGTTGCATGTGAATGAACTGGTTGCACCACTCTAAATGCATTGCATTGCAAGGTCGAATTTAGAGCTCTTTTTTTCAAATAGTAGGAAGGTGAATCTATAAATTGCTTAGGCCTAACCTTGCAACATCATAGTGACCCTCAACCCTTCATCTAACCTTGAAGAGGCTTTGAAAAAAAAAAATATATATATATATATATATATATATTTTAAGCAGTTTGGTTGGGACACGCGTGTCAAAAAATAAATTTTATGCGAAAAAAAATAAAAATAATTTTTAGAGCAATATTGACGGCAAAAGATTGATTTGAAATTATGCGGGCAAAGTCCATGACATCACAGAATGGTCATTTGCTCTTTCCACCTTAACGAGATGGTCATTCGTTGTTTCCACCTCAACGTAAAGGTGAAGCCGATCCACCTCTCCTCCGCACGCCCGAATGCCAAGAGAAAAGCAGTTGAAAGGAGGTGACTATTGACTTAGTTGCAAGGCACCTCGCGCCATCAATATTTCTCTAAAATGAAATATTTTTTACACTTCAATTTTCTTTGAAACGCGTGCCCCAACCAGATTTAAAAAAACAAACATTTTTTTTCCTTTCACCGGTTTTTAAGAACTGATAATTACAACCTCGCCATTTAAGTTCACACCTATATTTCTATGTTGATTTGAAAACAAACAAAAAAATGTTTTAAGGCTTACGGTATTTGCGGCACAGAAATATGTAGTCATAAATGTACCCATATTGCCTCCATATCATTTACAAGTTAAAAATCAAACCGCTGGCCTTCCTCTTCAGCTCACTAGCGTCAAATGTACTACTAAATTAAGTCGAATAAATACCCTGTTATAGGAAAGAACATGACATTTGAATGAATCAAGAATTTAAAATAAATCAGTCATATAAAAAGAAATCGTCGACTAAAGACAATTACTGGCAAATACATTCACATATCGCAGTGACGTAACTGACACTCCACTCGCACCCAACAAGCCGAATCTTGGCAAATAAGGACTAACTCAACGCTCTGTGGCATTCGGCTTTGGACCTACCGGGAGGACTTTACTACAGCACACATCTACCGCCAAGAAGACAGCCATATTTTAACAGCAAAAATGAAATAAACATGATTTCGAACACAAAAGTAACCAATCATAACGTCTTTCATGAACTATTAGAATAAAAAGCACTTACAAATAGCGCTGTACAGGGCCTTTCGCCGTGGATTACACGCTGGACTTGTCAGAGATTCCCGGTCCAGAGTTAGACACAATCCAAGCTCATCGGATCCTGACAAAAAGTACATTCACTGTAAAAACAAATTCCGTCAAATTAATAGAAATTGCCAGCTAATTTTTGATGCCGGTACAATTACCGTTGTCTTCCATCATGGTCACAGCATTAACTATGTCTCACGTGCATGAGAGTAATGAGGCCCTACGGTTTTCCCCGTAACTTGACCCGTAGAAACATGGCAGAAAACTGTAACTCTCAGTCACTGTACCGCATGTGATGCACGGATACGGGAATTGTTCCGGCATCAAAAATTAGCTGCCATGTTTTCCGTAACTTGCGACGGCGGGAATCGTTTAAATTAGCTGGCGTGTTGTTCACACCTTGAAGCAACGGCCAGAGCCTGTTGAACTGCTAGCTGCAGTGACTTAACAAAATGGACGCCTCAGTGAACAATAAATATGGCATTTTACTAATATAATTATTGTTCACTGAGACGTCCGTTTTATTAGATCATTGCAGCTAGCAGTTCAACAGGCTCTAGCCGTTGCTGCAAGGTGTGGACAACACGGCAGCTAATTTTAAATGTGTGAATGATTCCCGTTGTCACGCCTGACGTGCAGCTCAGTGATTGAGAGTTGCAGTTTTCTGGTGCCGCAAGTTACGGAGAACACGCCAACTAATTTTTGATGCCGGAACAATTCCAATTAAATATCTAGCGCCCATAAAATGTGATTAGGTTGTGGGCCCAAGTTACTTTCAAAAGTTAACGCCAACTGCGCGTCCCAGCGGTTAGCAGGTGCTTAAACAGTT